CGACAGGGATTTACGTTTTGATTACTCCACACCGTATAAACAATTTCTTTCTTGGAGCCGTTTTAAGAAGTTATCAACTCATTTGGATGTGCAAGAGAGTATGGTAAAGAAATGGAAACAGGACATTTTGAACCTTCTTCCTCGGGGGAGAGGATTACGAATGCCGGTTTTCACAAGAAACCGGTGATATTGAATTTAAAAACGAACTTGGAATGAACAGAAGGTCCGTTATAAGGAGTGATGGCGAGAATCTCGGCTAGAGGAAGTACCATATAGCACTTGTTGGGATTCACACCTGAAGCGATGAATTAACATGATCTATGAGGCAACAAAAGGGAAAACGGGAAGAAGTCCGCCTGACGGTGGGCAATTTTTCAAAACAACAAGAATGTGTTCAATGATTTTAGAGGTCTTTTGTCCATGACAAAAGACAATAACTCCCAAAGTATGTATAAAGCTAATATCTCGTTTAGCCCACCTCTGTCGAGCGGGGAAAATCGGATACGCTTGCCTTCGTTGTATTCGTTGTACATGTTGATAGCATCATTAGCAAGAATCCAATAGTGCTTCAGTCTTCGCTCAGGATCCGAAAGCAAGAAGTGAATCATCCATCCTTCAACTTTCGGCTGCGTAGTGTTTCTCGACGTCACTTGTCCTAGAATGCTGACTCGTCACAAAATTTTGGCTGTGAGATTTTGTGAGGTCGCGGAAGTTGGTGACTAGTTTGTCTGGAAATTTAATCGGTTACAGTCCGTTCCGCGCGTGATTAACCTATACGTACACGCTGCTTCCTGCGGCGAAACATGTCGTAATTGCAGACTCAATAACAAACGTGGCAATGTTCTCCAAAAAATCGATACCGTGAGTTTTTGATGCTTGGTTAGGTCTTTGATGCCAGGGTACTACAGCAAACATCTTAAGCGCGGACATTAGGATGATATGCCTACGAAGGATAGCGAAGATATAATCCCTATTAGAAATGAAAACCTGAGCCTTGGACTGTAATTCAGCGAGCGTGTGCGAGAGATCGGCTTTGTAATGAAGTGTAGCGTAGTGAACTGCGCTACTCACATCAGCTTCCACTTCACAAAGTGGGCTCATTTTTTGGCTTGAGGTGTTCCCTTCTACCCAAAAGATAATGCCTCGATTTTTGGTAATGCTTCCATTTCGGCATTATATGTTTTATAAAGAGAAGACAACAGCGGCAAAGCATGAAGCTATCGACATCACCTCCTCCTTGTTGTGATGCGACAGTCACCCTACTTCTATACAAAGTTGACGCGTCACCGTAATGCAATTTTCCCTATACACGCAGTGGCTGGCAAAGGCATGATGATGTCCAAATCAGTGCATTGGCTTCCCACATCAGTCTGGTACCAGTTAATCCGGTTCTCTGGAGGATGGAAGGTTTGGTTGGCCCGAGCTTCTGGAGTTTTTCCCCTCACTGTGCGCACGATACGGGACTCCACTTGCTGGTGAAGGGATGAAATGACTTACCAGGTAATCGGAACAGCGGTATGTTTTCACTGCCACTGGGTTCATCATCCATATTCACGAGATTCTCTTTCTGAGGTGCTGGTGGCGGTTCAGTGATGCTCATCCGGCTGATTGCATGGTCCGAAAGCGTACAATTAGACGGTAATTGATATGCACACTTATTGTGGACGTTTACCTTGAAAAGAAGCGAAATTATGGAACATAAAAGTAACGCTAAATATCACAGGTTAAAAGTTGCTTCTACTGTCGTAAATTGCCCCTTGAACGTTTGAATGATATCATAGAACCCTACCCCACAATCTCTGCATTTGAGCCCTTGTCGAATGAGTCCTTTAAGCATTTTGTCGCAAATTTTGCACTTGGTCGGTGTTAAGTAGTTGTTCTCGGCCAAGGTATGCGGGAGTTCCAGTGCAGCGCCTAAACTCGTCCAATGACCGCTGAGCAAACGCTGCAGACATGAAATTTCTCTCACTTGACGGCGCTGACGGTGGCATGCCCACCCCAATTCCACCTGGACCCATGGGAACGGGACTCATCGTTGACAGACCGGGGGTAGCCACGACGCAGTTGTTTCGTGGTGCTTCGGTACAACGACGATGGAAATTACATCTGAAAAGAGCGATTAGAAAACATCTGACAACATTTCAGAATTAGTTTTTAAAGCTCGAACTCGTCTTTGTAAAGGGATGGAGCACCTCTTTGCATTATATTGCCGCATTATGGAAGTTAGGCTCGGAAACACATCCCACGATTACCGGTGCTAGATTTCTGGTCGTATAGTGAATGCGACGACAAAGTGGACCACAGTAATAGAGATGGACCACAGCGAGAAACTATGAGCCAAGTGAGATCAGGACATGAGATAAGATGGGAATAGAGGGGCCGCATTCTTTTCACGCATTTCTTTATACGTGGCCTTACTTCTAGCGTTACCACCAAGCTACCTCGGGGACTTGACCCCCACTCTTCTGCTCATGTACTAAACCATTTTTGCTGAAAAGCCAGGCCACCAGGCCAAAAGCCCACTTCTAACCAGGGGGGGGGGTCTTCCATGAAATGCCCAGTTTTCTCGAAACGCTCTTTTGTACGATGCAGGAGACGTGCATGCAACTCAGAACTATAGTTCTTCATTCCTGAGCGGCCCTCTGAATACCAACAAAGGAGCAAAGAAAAATTTCTAAAGGAACTGTCGTCTTCACCAGTTTTTTGGTCCAAGTCTACAAATAAAGGCTGCTGGTGGTTCTGTTTATGACATGACATCCCTTGTTCACGCTGGCACCATTTTTCTCGAATTTTGAAACGCCAACTAAAAATGCAAAAAATTGTCACCGCGAGGATTCGAATCACGGGCCAGTTCACCACCCATTTTTTTAGTATTCATAGGTACGTCCCCTGCATCGTGCAAAAAACCGTTTCGAGAAAACTGAGCGTTTCCTGAAAGACCTTCCTTGTAAAAGTGTTGTGCAGCCCCTGTGCACTTTTCCTCAAAAGGATCTCTAACTCATACGCTATTTGCAATCAATCAGAGGGCTGACATCAAACATCTCCGAGATGACATACATGAATACTCTAGTTGGGTGTTGACGACAGCGATTCCAGTACATGAAGATGCTTCATTAACAGAAAAAATGAAATCATTGAGGGGACGATACCGCACTTGCACGCCAGACAATGTAGTCCCTGACGCATCAGACCAGTCAGCATTGCTCCGCAGAAATCGCAGAATGTCAAGGTCATATAGTTTTTCACCTGAAATCGTCGAAATTGCAAAAGGGTGCCGATATGTCAGACATTTGTGAAAGCAAAAACTAAATTGAGTGTGACCTCTAAAACATGTGGGCGAGTAGGTTTCTCATTGCGATCCACCACGATCACCTCAACGATGCAGCCATTGTTCTGGAATAAAATTGATTCGAAAACGATGGAAACTAGTCTAAACGGGTACGTTTTGGAAATTGCTCTCTTTGTACCCTTATGCAAAACTATAACAATCTGGAATCTCCTCACAAATCTCTTACTCCGAGAAGCATCATCACCATACCCATAGACCACCTATTGCAAAACCGCACCATTTCCACACGGAGCGCAGACACGGTTCCTCAACCATAAGTGAATCCTCCTGGGGTTTTATCCAGAAAGGGAGCATTACGGTGCGCAGTCTACTCTAATGCCAATTTAGCTCGAAAAGTTTTTTGGTTTTCATGGTTTGGGGGGGCTCCAAAGGGCATTCAAAAACGGCTGTGGGTGACAGTAGGGGAGAAACGTCAGAGAGAACTGAAATTGCTCACATCCTTTCCGAGAACTCATTCACTCCCTAAGGCTTGGTCCCAAATACTGAATGTGGCTCACTCACTTGAAACCCCCCACCCAAACACATAAGCGCCGTCCTTGAACTTGAAGTGCTGACAACTTTAGTGCTACGATACCTTCAAGTTATTGTACATTGGTCCTATTTTTGTGCCAGGGGACATAAGCGTCCAGGAAAAGTAATATTCACCTAGTGAGCAGCTAAGAATGAGCTTAGGAAGGGTTAACTCCGGAGAAAATGAAGGTTGCTCAGACACTCGAGGCCTCTTCCCTTCTATGGCTCAGTTCAATCGCTACAATAAAAGAAAAGAAAATGCTTCCCGTATTTTAACACGTTAAGAACTCTAAAACAATGCCAGCCCCTTTTCTTAATACTTACTAGGTTTTAGATTTCGCGCCACAACAGCAAATATCAAAGCGCTGGAAAGCCGAAAGCATTACCGAAAGAGTTCTAAAGTCTTTAGCTCGATTCCTATGGAACGAAGCTCGTGACTTCGCGACGGCACGCTCAATTGCAAAGAACTGTGTACTCATTCTATAACATCTAAACGGTCGGCTCGAGAACTGTCACAAGATAGTGCTATGATTCTAAGATAAAGAACCTGTACTCCAAGAAAAAAAAACAAAACCTATGCCACATACCAGTTGTGAAACAGATGCGATGTGTTGTAGAACACTGGGCGAATCGTAGTCGTGCCGAAACAAGTGCAGCTCACTTTCACCAGGACTCGTGCGCTCGACAAGAGCTCGAGCTCGTCGACGTAGCGATTCGATAAATCCTAGAATCGTTTCACGCCTCCTTCAGATATGTGTCAGTGCACGGCACGCCTTGCTGAATGTACAACCTGATGGTCGAATCGTTCGCTCCAAAATCACTCATTCATTGTTGTTGACCATATTGCTAGGAAAGCTGTGATAGCACGTGGATCTGCCACTGGCTATCGATTGCAGTTTCTGGAGCGAGAAAAAAAACATTGATCCGGATTGAAACAAAAGTCTCTATTGAATTTGAACGAACGAAGAATAGGGCTCACGCTCACTAAATGGACTGTAGCCAGCTGGAAAAAGAACGCTCGTGAAGATGAGGCGGTTTCAAGAGCAAATAGGACTTATGGTAGTATAAATACCGCTTAGTTCTTTGGATTATTTGAATCGAAGCCGCCGATATACTTAGAGACACATTTCGCAGAGCCAAAATTTTGAGTTAAGCTTCAGAAATAAAACTTGAAGTGCCAGTGGTCAAGACTATGTTGTTGAATAGGTGAATCCAGAACAGCACGGCCGAAAGCAGGTGCGGGGTGGGTGGAGGGGCCGGGGGGCTTCAGTTTTGTTACTCGTAGACATTATTGTTCGAAAATACGGCAGAAAGGTACTAAGAGCAAAACGGAGGAAGCGAGCTTCAATTCTTTGACCTCAAACGTCAGTAGGATTGCTTAAGAGAGTTAGGAACAGTCATGAATAGCTTGGTTCCCTTCAAGCGGAAAAAAAAACGATACCACCCAAGCGTAAGTTATTAAAAGTTACTTATAGCAATTTCAGCGTTGAAATCAACGGCAACAAATGAGAACATTATCACTTGGAACAAATAGCAGCGCTGAGCACCGAGAAGCAAGTAGCTCAGTGAACGCCCGTTCAATGTAAGCAGAGATGTATGAAACCAGTGCCCTTTCAAACACACCACAAGGTTCGGTGATGTGTATTCATGGGCGCGGTCGACCACGAGGCGAGAGCTTGCTCCGAACGGCAATACTGACCAATACGCTACGATGAGAGTCGTACCTATATCATCGATTCAAGTATAGTGTAGCACATTACTGGGTATTAGACACTACATTACTCGCCATTCAATTCTCTGGAGGGGACCATGCTCTACAGTGATGAAGAAACTGCTTTGGTCATCGCAATGATGATCAACTACGTCCTTAGATGGCTACGACTCCGGATAATGGCGCGACTGGGGGTATGCGTGCAGCGTTGCCATGGAAGTGGAGCAGGGCGGCAGCGCCTATATTAGCCGGTGAGCCGAATAATCATAGTCTACGTATGACACTGAATAACTAAGAAAATCTTCACCGTATCTTCGGGGCTTCGTGAAGCGAATGTGTCCAAGCTAAAAACTTTGAGGCAGATTAAAAGCCTCCTAAATATACTGGATAAAGTCCTAATTATCCACTATTTCATTGTGATCTCTCTTCAGGCTAGCTCCACGACAGAAGATGTCTCCATCATATCCTTCATAAGGCTATCAGGAATGACGTAGCTGAGGCTTCAGGCTCACTGCCGCGTGAACGCTACTTGTACGCCTGCACCTCATTTCATAGTTCACTGTTTGTCTGAACCAAGAGTCAGCAGTTCCGAGAAGACTGGAGCATGGCGAGTACAAATTAGAGGTAGGAGCTAAAATTTCGGGATAGATATACTGACGACAGACAGGCGAAGCGTAGTTGGGAGTCGAATTATGCACGGCGACAAACATTTGCGAATTTAAACTGAAATCAGCCACGCTATCTCTTTTCATAGAAGTATTTAAGTATTCATCATGATTGTTCACATTTATGAAAATGTCGATAGCAGATGTTTCTATGATTTCGGAGAGAGAGTATAGCGCACCACGTCGCAGTATAACGCGTAGGATGCACCATGCACGAAGACCACATTTCTCATTATTTCAAAACCTTTCTAATTGGTGTACTATTAGAAGGAGTGAAAAGCCTCAGAAAGACAGTATGGAGTGTTATGTGTCAAGAGGCAACGCTTCACCCAATACTGAAGGGACTCTGATGCACACAGAATCGTTGAAAATGAAGGCGAGAAGTGGGCTCGGCAGTGAAGAAAAGGAAAAATCAGTCAAAAACCCCAAAGTTAAAAGCTTACTCATTTTCATGCGTAGACAATAGCTGGCTGAGTACGGAGGAGACAGGATAGACGAGAAAGCGGAACAGATGGAGAGTGTATGGACAGCATGCTGCGGATGAGAAAAATGAAGGCGGTTGAAGCGGTCATTGCAAGACATTGGTGGGGCTAGGAGAACGGGGTATCTACGACGTACCTTGACGGCTGTAACCTTCCCTCTGGAAGATTCCCCTACACTTGAGCTAACCTGTGTTGTGCCTTTGACCAGAACAAACTTATTATACCAGATTGGTCAACCGTCAACCGCCAGGACCTTTCACTCCTGCGCAAGCCTCTATCTTCCACTGTGGTACCTTCCACCTATGACACCAACACCTCCTGGAGGTAAAGCGTAAGTAATACAAAGGAGTTTTATATAGTAGAGGGCATCGCCACACTCATGACATGAATGTAGATCTTCATCCTTCCCTTCTCATCCTCAATTCCTTCCTCCACTGCCCTCCAGCTGCCAGCTGCAAGCCACCAATCGTGGAATACACGGAACTGTTGTCTAAGAAGGTCTTTCAAATATGCCTATATTGGTGGTTATCACAATCATATCCCTGCTGACAAAACATTGGGTATAAAACAAGTCTGTGAGCACCTATTCTGAGCGGTCGTTTACATCCATGAGCGGTTCCCTGACACCCTCACTTTCCATTTTGCAGGAGCGGTCAGCGGACATACTACATACAGTAATCACATTACATACAAACCGGAAACACCTAAGTTATTCCGGTTTATATATTGAGATAACGAAAATGATTATACAGAATTCTGGCTGCGCATCTCGAGAAAGTCGGATCCACATTATACGAAGTTATACGAGTAGCTTTAGCCCCTTCGACAACATGAGTTTAGTAACTGAACATGAGGAAAGGTCTTCAGCTGGATGCCAGAAGCTTCCCGCTTGCAAAGATTTTAAGAATAAGCTTTCACTTAATTATGAAAAGTAACGACATACTATGGCGATAACAACTGGCTTGAAATCATCCATTGGGCAAGATCCAACAAGATGCGACAACGCATTTATTTTTTGAAAGGCAGAAGTGATGTTATTATATGAGGTTTCCTAGCTGTTTCGGGGAGCATAGAAAGAGAATAGTTCATTGAAGAATTGCCACATGGTATATTTTACGAATTCTAGGAACACTGAGAATTAGCAAGTTGTTTCTTCCTTCCCTCACTCCTCCGCTCCGCAGGGCGGTCGGATGGCTAGCTAAGCATGCGAGGGGTGGGTTCGAAGGGTACGCCGCCAGACATCGCGCTAGACCATGTTACAGGAAAAACGGAAGTAACATATTCTTACTACTAAACCCGTCCAATGGGAGAACCGCTGAGCTAAATTCTTTCCATTGCAGTGTATAGGGTGTGTACAACACCCTATACACTGCAATGGAAACGAAAGCTTCAGAGATGCTGCAACACGCGAAACAACGGTAATGGATCACAAACAGGCAGGGGGGAAGGTCGACAAAAGCTGTTCGTACTGAGCAGATCCGAGGCTCTCGTGGTAGCTAATCTCTTAAGACATACAAATGTAATCAAGTAACCATAACCCAACGACACACATACTCGACAATGGACCGTAAAATGAAACGTTTGTCAAAAGTTTTCGGAAGGTTAAGTAGACAGCTCACAGATCTTCCCCTCATCATCCAGAGGCTTCATACAATAATCAAGTAGAAAGAAAGACGAATTAAGAAATGCAACGAGGTGGTTGGCGGGCTGAGGTATACACGGATGAAAGCGGCTCAGTAGGAAAGCTGATACTACGAACTGATTTGGTCGTGACTACCGTGCAAGGCGAACCGTGGGGCAATCTATTGAAGGCGAGTCGGAGAACGCTTCTCTTAAGTGGATCGGGAATGTCTGTGAACTAGTGCAAAATGCGGTATTCGAGTATGCTGTCGAGCGAGATGCGACGATGGCTATGTGTGACCGGTTTTTTCATTAGAGGATCTGCCCTAGCGCGAAATAATCAATTTCGGCACAAATAGCGAAATTGCGCGAATTCTGGGACAGCGATGGCAAATCACGCTTTGCGACCATCTTTGCAGACTGTGGTGCGATGAGTGTTTGGTGTACAGCCATGAAAAACCACCCGGGTGTTGAAGCAATCGGTGAACAACTGTGGAAACAGGATCTTTTCGTGCTTAATCGACCGTTTGCATTTTCGCCTTTACAGCTTATTTGAACGGTAAGAATGATGAGAGATCGACGGTCTCCTAATCGCCAGCGACACACGCCAAGGAGTGGACGCGCGGACTTTCATGTTGGCAAACGTACAACTGATTGAATGCATCACTACGTCGTGCAACAAGGTAGCGGAATTAGCCGTTTTGTAGAGCGCATGAGTGTTCAAATTTCTCAGGCAATTCTCATTCACCTATTTAACTTTGGGAAAACGATTAGCATGAGAGAGGTAACAGGTTCGATTCGGGAGAATGCAAAACTCCTCTGCTCCTCCACCACGACAACATCTCTTGCACCCTTAGGCGTCACGAGCGCTTATCCAAGATAGCGACGACTTATCATAATACTATCACAAGGATGGAATGGTTTCTTTACCCAGATGTAGCAGAATCAGCGGATAGTAAATGTTACAAACATGGTCAAGTGAGCGTCGAGGAAGTCCTGAAGCATGGTAGGGGTAGTATTAAAACAGTTGATGATCTCACTGAGGGGAGTTCATGATTTCGAAACGAGCTGTATTTGCCATCTGAATGAAGGAGGAGAATATCAAGTCTTTAGCATTATCTTCCGTTTAGACTCTTCAGTCTGTAGGTTCCACATTAAATCGCCTCCCGCAGAGCCTAAAACAATCCAGGGTCTGAGCGCGTGTCTCATCTCGGCTGCGGGTTCGTTAAACTGCGGTAGGTTTA